TGGCATGTGATGGAGAGGATCCCATTGATAAGGAGATTAAAGTGATTAAGGAGATTAAAGGAGATTAATCAGGAGGGGCCTAGAGATTCAAACTTAAACAATGGAGAGAGTGCCTCTAGGGCAAGACCACACCCAGCTAAGTCTCCAATTTGAGAAAGGAAAATGCTGCAGGGGTCATGGAAGAGAAATCTTCTAAAATGGATAAAGCAGGCTGGAGTCCACCCCAAACTTGCAGTCAAACTTGGCAGTGTCGTTCACCTGGTGCTGCCTTTAGAGTCATGAATGATGCAAGAGTGAAGGGTCATCAGTTCTTCCTCTGAGGTTTCAGAGAGCCGCTGAGGTCAGGCAGCATACAGCAGGGGTGCCACTGCCTAGAGAAGGCCCTGATAGGCCATTGCGTGAAGCTGTGAAGGGGAAGCCTGGTTGGAAATGGAGACCCCAAGAAGACATTTGTGATGCCAGAGCTGTGAGGCATCCGCCAAGAAGACCTGCACACAGGGAGTGGTACCAGCACAAGAGAGAGATGTGTGTTGCACGCAGCAAAGCTAGAGAGGCTGAGCCATCTAAGCCTTTGGAAGTGAAGTTCCAGAAGTTGGACGTGGAGCTACTGGATTTGGTGTTTGCCCTACTGTTTTTCGGCCTTGTTTGGTCCAGTATTTCCTTACTATACCTCCATTCCTCCCTTTTGGAATGGTAATGTGTATTCGGTTCCACTGTACGTTGGGAGTGTGTAATTTGTCTTTTGATTTTATAGAGGCTTACAGTTAAGATATTTACCTGAGTCTCAGAACAGACTTTGGAGTGTTGACTTTTGAATAGTATTGAGATTGATAATGACTATAGGGACTTTTAAAGTTGGACTAAATGCATTTTGCATTTTATATGGTCATGAGGCTATGGGGGCCAAGGGGTGGAATGTGATGGTTTGAATGAAAATGTCCCCCATAGGCTCCAAGTATTTGGACATTCTGTCCCCAGATGATGACACTGTTTGGGAGATTTTAGAAGGTGTGGCTATCCTGGAGGAAGCATATCACTGGGGGTGGGCTTAGAGAGTTCTTAAGCCTTTCCAGATCTCCAGTTGCTTTCTTGCGTCCTGTGCCTGCGTGGTGATGTGAGAGCTTAGCTTCTGCTGCTCCTGCTCCAGCCACCTCCAGCCACCATGCCTCCCTACCATGACAGACTGTAATTCCTCTGGAACCATAAGCTCAAATAAACTCTTCCTTCTATAAATTGCTTGGGTTAGTGTTCCTATCACAGCAACAGAAAAGTAACTAAAACACCAGGTCTCCTGCAAGAACAGTCAGTGTTCTTATCTGCTGAGACATCGCTCTAGTCCCCCCACCAGAATCTTCTACATGTGAATTTATGAATGAATGAAGACATGAATGATGATTTCTTATATCCTGTGAAGAATATGTACTGTCATCTCTCTGTGAACTCTTATTTCCCAGAAAATGTCAGCCTTCAGTAAGTAGCTGATCAGTGTCATGGGATTTTGTAAATAATGTCATTTAG